TTTGGTAGTAGATTAGCAAAACTTAAAATTTTCAATAAATATTTTATTTCAATTTAACGATATCAAGCTAATAATAAATATTTCCATTGCTATTCCAATAAAAATTGTGTTTATTTCCCCTCAAGAAACGACGCCATAAAAGTCGCTTGCTATAAAAATGCAGAGTGTTTCAACTGATTTCATAGCTTGAGAATTCTGTGAAAATGCCATATAAAGTGCAAAAGAAACATACGAAACGCATTTGCTACTCAGTTACAGTACGGAAATGAAACTCGTATCGCTGCTCTTGGCTTGTTTGAGTAAGTCAGTGCACCAGCTTTCAATTACATCAATTACTTAATATATTAGTAACATACTGAGCTCTGTTTCTTCTTTATCCATAAAGTTGCGCTGCTCAGCCAGCTGTCAGCTAATGATCTCGTTCAGGCCTCACCTGCCGATGAGCTTGCCATCAAGGAGCCATGGAATCATGAGAATAATTCAACAACCCACAAACCTCCATACAAGATCTCTGACGACATTTAGAGGGCAAACAGTTGCTTATGAGTGTCTTACGCATTAAATAAAAATCAAGTTCACAATATGCTGTAGACGAATTTTATTTGAAAGGATATTACAAAAAAAAATAAAGTAAAATAAAAATAGAAGTGATTTAGACGGGAATTGCCGCATGAAACTAGGATTTATTTTTAATGAATACTACACTACATTCTCTCGATCTCAATACAAAATTTTGAGCTTAATTACATCTATGAGGTGAAATCCTACAGGTTGAAAGTCAATGTACATATATCTCAAATATATTGATACCCAATTCAATAATTATTTGGTAAAGGGGAATATATGTATTTTATTTATTTTTATTTTGTGATGCATCAATTCATTCCATTCTTTATCAAAGACTTATTCGTGTTATACTTAAAAAAAAAAAACATAAATGAATAATTATTTTGTAAAGGAGAATATATGTATTTTATTTATTTTTATTTTCTACTAGATCAATTCATCAAGCCCTTTATCAAAGACCTAAGATACAATTTAAAAAATTAATTGAATAGATAGTTCGTAAAGGGGAATATACGTATGTATGAATCTATTTATTTTTATATTCAGAGCCATCGATGCATCCAATTCTTTATCAAAGACTAAACATAATTATTTGGTATAGGAAACTACATACATATTTCATTTATTTTAGTTCTCAATTCTTTATCAAAGACTTATGAATAAGTTTTATATAGCTGATATATGTTTGCGCATCATGCGTATATTTCGGTCTTTCTCTCCTCTTCTCTCTTCACTATATATATATTATATATTGTCTGCATTTTACTGTAGGAACTGCAATTTGTTTTCCTCTTAAGTTTTCCCTTGATGCTTCTGTTTCTTATCAGAATGGAAGGTAATTGAAATGACTTTGAAGTCGAGCATAGCCAAATGCACTTTCGCAAGGCTCAATTTGATGGCCATCTTATCAGCAATTATGACGGGCTATAAACTCTAATTGATTATTGCCAGAGCACTTGGGCCAGTCCCAATGCTCTCCATTTGCCTGTATAAAAGTGATCGGAGCGATGCTGGGCAACAGTCAGAGACATTCCGTAAGAAGAACATGAAACTTGTAGCAGCTGTTCTGTTTGCATGCGGTAAAGTAACAAATAGATCTAGTCAAACGTATAATAAACTAAAAACAGTCTCGGTGATTCTCATAGTGGCAACACTTGCGCTGTTGCACAGCGTTTACGGTACACCGGTGCCGCCGGCGAATCCAGAAGCGCCCGCTGCCAATGCCAAGCCAGCAGCGAATCCAGAAGCCAATCCAGCATCCAGCTCAGCGCCAAATCCAGTGCCAAACCTAAAAGGGCCAGCTGCCAATCCAGCGCCAAATCAAACCGATTTGCTGCCCAATGATGAGCTCCTGGGTACCACAGCGGACAACTCCAATCCACTATACCGTGTCAGTCTACAGGATGCCGATGCGAAGGAAGCAGCTCCAGTCGCAGTCCACAGCTTAGCTCCAAGCAACAGCAATTTGCCAGCAAATGCCGCCTATCCAAGTGAGGCTGCTCCTTCTGTAGATGCGGCTCCCAATTTGAATGAAATCGGTGCCGATGGAGCAGCCGACCAGCAGGTCTTGGTTGTCTAAGGAAGCGAGCAATAAGCAGCGTCAGGTAAATGCACACTACCACATGCAAAGCTAAAGCGCACACATACTTATATATACATACATTCATATATATGTATACCCTAATATGCTTATATGTATATACATTATGTATTCGAATCAGCATGAGCAATAAATAAATTGCATTTGAAAACAAATTGAACAGCTTCATTTTATTGTTCAACACTGGATTATAGTGCTATATATTCCTAGCTATAGAGTAATGGTAAATTGGAAAATCTACTTAATCAGCTCACTTACTTTAGAGGAGTATTAGGCAGTCGGTCACGGCCGAATTTTCTCTTGCGAATTGGTTTGAAAACTGGGCTTATATCGAATTCAACTGTTCACTGGGGCATGGCAGTCACATGCTATTCCCAGACATCGAGCCCCTGACCGGATTTGTATAAAAACAAAAGAGCGAAAGATTTGCAAATTAAGTCGAAACTCGAATACTCTAACCAGAAAGCAAAGTATGTTTGAGTTGTAAACAGTTACAATTATAGCTATATCCGAGATAGCTTTCCACTCAGCCCGGATTCTCAGCGATCCGCGATGTGAAACCTCTCATGTGCCGAACTTGAGATACCCCATGCAAGAGTAACAGAATGCTAAAGCGCACAGGGAGGTGGTGGCAAAAAAAAATCACTTACAAAGAGGAAGCGACAGCTACAGCAAGTTTTATGAATGAAGTTACCAATCTCTGTAAACTTGAAGGCGACAAAGAAATGAAAAAAAAAAAAACATACAAAACAAAACAAAAACCAAACTCAACCACAAGACAATGTAGAGGACGGAAGCAGCGGCAGCGGCAGCTGAAGAGAGGTAAAGGGAATATCCATAGACCATATTCATTGATCAATAGCAGAGGCAAGAGCTGAGGCAGCGCTGAGCCAGAGCCGAAGACACGTTGGTAGTCGTGGCCGGGCTCATCCGCTGTCTGGGAGCATATCATTAACAGATGTGATTTAAACACGTTCGGCAAATAAAAAACGATTTAGGCTTTATTTGTCGGCTACATATATATATATATATATATGTATGTGTGTGATCTCAACTATAATTTGCCCATCAATAATATGGATTTATGTATTGTCACTGTTCACATATCAATTTGCATGTTAACACTTCTGTGAGAACCACCGAATGACTCTGCCAACAAATTGCTGAAGTCAAATAACTTCGTCTTTATATGAAAGGTCATTGAATATGCAAAACTAGTTCGATCCAGAGGCCTATATGAAAATAATATATATAAATATATTTGTATACAATAAAGAAGGAGATTTTACGATGTGCTTAAGATTATTTTATACTCACATATCTAAATCTGTCTATAGAAAACAGTAGCTAATTCAATTGATATGCATATTCGCAATGGTA